CATTCTGAGCCACCAATTTACTATTTTTAAGATTAAGGCGTGAACGAAATGCGATTGCGTAAGCTTTTTATCTGCTCCTTTCAGAATGCTTGTTGTCAATTCTTATTTTTGACAGATCCCTTCGCTGCCTTTTTTTTCTGCAGCCCGTTGAAGTAAAGAAGTTTATCAGGGTCTTGACAGAGTACTTTGAGGTTCATGCTACTATTGCCGACGCAACTAGTGCCCTGCCGAAGACAATCAGAAATCACGGACTTCTCGCAGGGGCCGCCTACATGGAAATCTTGCGCAGTTCTAAGGTAATTTTCACCCGTACCTCTTTTATCTGTCGTCTTGGCTTGCATTGCTTCCTTTTTCTCTCTCCTCAGGCTCTCTCCAGAATAATTTAAATTCCCCATCGCTTGCTACGACAGTTGCAGCTCTCGTTACACCTCTGTTACGTAGACCACAAGCACTCTGCTGGCGAATTTTTGAATGCTGCCTTTGGCGCATAATTTTCCCCAGGCGCGCATACTGTGGGCCGAAGGGAAACAGTTGGTTCTGTAAAGCTTTCTTCTTGGAGGTTTCTAATCTGGGCATAGTGCAGCCTATATCAGTTCAAAGTGTCATTCGTTGTTAACGGTAGCGTGTAGAACTGGTGTGTATTCTGCAATTTCCTCAACATTACCTCTTGACTTTTGTTTTTTACGTCTTTCTTATTAGGTAGTTGGTTGCTGTAAAGGATAGGGATCTGAATTTGTTGACGACATTGCAGAATATGTATGAGCGGTATGTCTGCGCATTCCTCATTAAAAGCAGTTGAGGTGCTTCCATCAAAGTGATTGGTACGGCATATGAAAAATGCGCTTAGGGAATACGTGCACCAAATTGGAATACAAAAGTCAACAAAACATTGCTCACGTCAACTGACATAACTATGATAAGGTTTAAAAGTGACAGCGCTCTTTACCCTGCATAATATGCTTTTTTGTAGTTAGTCCTCTCGTCGTTTGTAACTGCCCGGTCTCCTATTCGTTGCTGCTTTTGACGTAGAACGGGTGAGGAATTTTATCGGTTCTGATTTGATAGGGTCTCTAATTATGAGCCTGTTGCCCAACTATCTGATCTCATATCCTTTGACTTTTCGAATCCCAGAGCCTAGACGCAACATTCTCAAAAATATACGTGCGGATGGCCTGAAAACAAATCTCAACTATCAGTCAGTGTCAGTTTAT